CATAGAATGTTTCTAATAAGTGGAAAAAAATTAAATTATAAGAGAAACGAAGGGGATTTAAACAAATTTATTGGTTACTGGCACCAAATTAATTGTTTAACTAAGGTTTAAAAAAAATAATTGACTTTTGATCACTTCAGACATTTATTCAATTTAAGTTTTAATAATACTGAAGACAGTCTACAAAGTAAATCGAAATATATATATAAATAAACAACTCTAATTTTGTTCAAAATTAATAATTCAAATATTATTTATTACAAAAAAAATTATTTTAATTATTAGATTATTATTTTATAATAATAAGTTAGACATATTTTATATAAACAACATGAAACGTTCTTAAAGCTTTGGAATGTAAATTAAAAGATATATAATATGGGTATAATGGAAACTTCACTCTTCTAGCAATTTTTGCGTGGCGGCGATTGGCTATACTAGAGGCTTATTTTTTAAGGATCTTGGTCACATCAAGCCCCTTCTCCTTCCTCAAGAGCATTTAAGACTTTGATAAACTTTCAGAGTGGTTTTTGTACCTTTCAGTTTTTATACAATAACACAATATGTTAACAGACCTAAGTGGATGTTTAGGATCGCTAGTTAAATATAAAATAACAACAAATTAAAAAATTCCATTAATTTCTAATCAACCCTCGTATATTCTATTATTTCAATAATTTTAAAGAATTAATTAAAGATTATTTTTAAGTAAAGTAATCGCAACAGACCTAAGTTTTATACAAGTGCATATAAATGGTTCACATTGAGTGTGTAATAACTGCAGAGTTTATGATGGTCATATAGGTAGGTAGAGATATCAAGTACATATATCAGGTATTAATGAGGTTTACGATTACTTTTGCATTGTATAGAAATATTATTTAAGCTATACAATATACATAATCTATAACTGTGCAGTATATATCTACCCGAAAAGTGTAGTTTAAACAACATAAGCGATTATTATAAATCTGATTTTAACATAGCTAGTTTTTATTTAAAACAAATTTATTGTTTTAATGACCAAATTTTATTTAGTTATATATATTTGTAAGGGCTAATTAGTCAATGGTAAATAATACAAAACTGTTTAAATAATTGTTAAAAATAATTTGACCAATATATAAGGCTTAACTATAAGACGGATATAATAAACTGTGGTCGTCTATAAAATTACTTTCAATAAATCGTAAATAATCGTATACGTATATGTATTTGTCGTTTCATTGTTATTATATAGTAAAATTATTTATTCACAAATGTATTGAATTTGTTAGCCTGAAGATGAATTATAGTCATCTTATATCGTCGAAATATCGAAAACAATAATATATATTTTGAAAAACTGATTTAAAAAGTTGTGTATTATTTAGTATTGTCCAATTAGCCCATACAAAAATATATATATTTAGAAAAAAAATTGAAATATACAGTTAAATCTTTCTATAACGAACCTCCTTGTACCGAATTCCTTCCTATAACGAAGTTTTATTGAAGACACAGGAATTATTTTAATTAGTATATATATTCGAACCTCTCTATAGTGCTTCCTCTCTTCTTCTCTCTGACAAAGTTTTTTCAGGTACGCAAACCATTTTTTCATATAAAAAAACCTCTTCATAATGAATTTATTCAAATGCAAGTGAAACACTCAACTAATACGTTATAACTTATGTTTATATGAATAAACATGAATGAAATATATTTTTAAAATTAATACGTACATAATTCCCAGTCAAAACAAAATCAAAAAAAAAATATTGTTGAACCTCTCTCTAACGAAGACTTCTGTACAACGAAGTTTTTTGCAGGTACCAACAATTTCGTTACAGAGAGGTTTGACTGTATATCCTTCTCTTCGAGTTATTCAGACTATACAATTGATAATTTTGTATATGAATCTTTTAGAATAAAATGGAATGAATTCATGAAGCACAAACATAATTTTTTTGATTTACTAACTTATATATATAAAAAACGACGTTTTTTCTGTACTCTTAAATAACTAAGAGAGCTATTGGCATATACAACTACTTAGCTATTAGTTTAGAAGTTTGTTGGTAAATACTTTATTAAGATTTGTGGTTCATAATATTATTAAGCTAATATGGGTGGAATGTTGTGAAAACTTTTGGTATAATACAGTTTTACTACTATAAAGAGACTTACTACTGTATATGTTTAAAAAAAAAATGTGTGCTATTTATGGCGTAGCGTTAGGACTTGCCAAGATGAAGAGGAGTTAAATCTATTAACCACTTCCTGTGTCTCTGGTCAGGACTCCAGAGACTTCAATATCTTGAGGATCGCATTTGGCTTGAAAGAGATAACGAAATCAAACTTATTGGATCTCCTCAACTTCATCCGGAAAACCAAATGGTTTAATAAGGATAACAAAAGTTAGCCTCTCTCGGCAACATTTTTGAAGGCATAACAATGGGCAATATATGTCTCCAAGTTTTGCGCGTTTTTATTTTGGAAATTACGATGTGAAATATATTTTTCACTGTGACCTATATTATCATCATCAAATAGTTTTACAGCTCGAAGTGAGCTTTAGCTTTATAATAGATTATTCAGTCTACAGTGTAGATGGTATTAAAGAGCTTACAAAACTGAATCTCAATATTCCATAAGAAAATCAAATCTAATGAAATAAAAAAGATAGAATAATAAATTATATCCGATCTTTTCATTTGAAGTAATTTAATTAACAATGCCAGATAGTATTATCTTCTTATCAAGAATAATTTAATCTAAAAAAAGTACATTTATATAAAATTATTTTAAAAAAATTTTTTTGTGCTTATATGAAACATTTAAACATTAAGTCCTTTTGATTTGATTTATTTCGAATTATCTCATAATCTTATCGTGCGAGAAACAAACACTGCCTTTTGTTTAGCAATTAAAATAACAAAAACTTAAAAACGTGTTGAGTGTTGAGTGTTATCAAAACGCATAATAATGAGACAATAAAGTGGCGTGTTACAGAAAAACCTTAAATATTTATTATAACCTGAACAAGTACCATAACTACTATAACTACTAATAAATCACATATAGAAAACCGAAGATATTTCACTAAATTTTCAACATCGAGTCATTAGGGGGCATGTTATTACGTTAACGTGCAATTATTGAATAATAACGACTAATTGGATTTAAGCTATTTATTTTTGTTTCCTCCGTGCAGAGAATGAGCTTTTGGTTTGCTGGACTTTCGACCATTTCATTCTGATTGAAATTGTGTGCACATATTTTAATTACATTTGTGCAAATGAAAAATTAGAATTCTAAAATGTATTATTTTCGCATATTTTTCCACTATATTCTATTGTTGTCTAAACTATTTTATTGGTATCTGTATCTGTTACTTACGTGATCCGATGAATCCGCAGTTAAGGAATTCCTTTTCTCACTGCTTGCATTTATGGTATCGGATTCATCTGCTCCAGTTTCATCGACGTTCCTTCTCCTTAGCTCTGCCATTTTATTGTTGTTTATTTATTCGTAAATTCGTTTTTAAATTGAATTAAATTAATTTTTGTACACTTTTTTGGCTTCGCTCAATAATTAATTATATTAATTTATTCACTTTATATTTTAATATATTTTTTTCGTGTGCATATCTTGCATATTTTATAGATACTAAATTTTAATGAAGTAAATTTTTCTACATATGTATACTTTCTTCTGCGCCGCCTCCAGAACTTAAAGTAGCTATATAGGTGCTGTATTATTTTGTTTTTATTTGCTAATAGCCAAAACAAATTTATCCTTGGAGCGAAATCACATTTGTTTTTCTCGGCTGTGGATTTTACACTAATTTTCTTATATACATGCGCCTTTTCAACATTTTTAGCAAAACAATTTTTTTTAATTTTCTTTTATATTGATTTAACCTTCACGAATTGCCAACTACCTAAATTCCGTGATCTTTATAAAATAAGTACAAAGCAAAATAAAAAGTGTGTAATACACAAAATGCTGTGCACAAATTTATGTAAAAATTTTCAAAGAACTTTTCTTTCGAAAATGCTGTACGATAAAGAAAAATAATATGTATATTATAATTCAATATAATATATAATATTTTTATATTATATATATATTAT